CACGCGTGTGGGGCATGCACACCCGTGGCCGTGCGCGTGGAGGGGTAGGTGCGCCTGCATGCGGGGACACACGTGTGCACACGTGTGCATGCAGGGACACGTGTGTGCACGGGGCTGCTGCACACCCCTGTGCGTGGGGGCACCCCTGGGTGCACACGCCTGGAGGGGCACATACACACCTACGTGTGTGTACACAGGGACGTAGGTAGAGGTCTGTGTTCACCTCCGCATAGGTGTGTGCATACCCTTAAGCATAGAAATGTATGTATATATATAAATATAAATATATATATACACATATGCACACAGGCACGTGTTCAACGCACATGGGCTGTGCACGCTTGTATATGTGCCGCTATATATATACATAGATGTGAGCCCACACGTGCACTCACAGAGGTGAGGGGGTGCATCTATGCGTGCCCGTACAGGGGCACGTACGGCTCCTGGACACGCATGAAGCTCGGCAGCTGCCCCTATAGACCCGGCTGTACGTATAGGTACGTGCACATGCAGGTCCCTATGCACACGTGGCCGCGGACACCGCTGGTGTGACGGGTCCCCAGGGTGCGGGGTCCCCCCACCCTGGAGCAGGGGGTGTTATTTCTTTTTGGGGAAGAAGCTGAACCGTTTCTCCTTGTCCTTGCGGGGCAGGGGGGGCTCATGGGGTGCCGGGGGCAAGGGCAGGCTCTGCGCCTTCTCCCGGCTGCTCCGGCACTCAGTTATTGCTGTGCTCAGCCCCTGCAGCCAGGCCTGCAGCTCATCCTGTGGGCATGGGCAGGGGCTGGGGGCAGGCTCCCCTGGCCCCCCATCACCTTCCCAGTCACCCTCTGGCCCCCCGGGCGATGCCAGCTGCCCCACATCTTCCCCAGCCACCCACGTCCCCCTGGGCACCGCCAGCCCCCCATCCTGTCCTGATAGCACCCCTGGCCACCCCATGTCCCCCCCTTGCCACGTCCTCATGGTACCCCTGGCCACCCCATGGCCCTGCAGGCAGCGCCAGCCCCCTGTGAGCCACTGGGCACTACAGGTCACCCTGTGCATCCCCCTGGGTGCTACTGGTCTCCCCTGGGCATCTCTAGCCACCCTGTATCCCACTGGCCACCCCACATCCCCCTGGGCACTGCTAGTCCCCCCCTGGGAACCACCAGCCACCTTCTGTCCCCCCGGGTACCACGGGCCACCCTGTGTCCCCCTGGGCGCTGCTGGCCACTGCCATATCCCCTGGGGACCACCAGCCCCCCTGGGTCCTCCTGGGCACTACTGGTCCCCCTCTGTCCCCTGGGCATCTCCAGCCCCCGCCACGTCCCCCCAGGATGCTCCTCACCTCATCCTTGCCATGGAAGAGCCACACGCTGCCATTGCTGAGCCTGGGGACAGAGCGCAGGTGCCAGTGAGGTGTGTGCCCCCGCCAGTGCCGTGCCATCCCGTGCCAGTGCCTTACCTGAGTTTGAAGACATGCTTCTTCTTCTTGTAGCCGGCGGCCACCTCGCAGAGGGCATCCCGCAATCCCAGGGGCTCCTCGCCGTGGCAGGGCTGCCCCAGTGCCCGGCTCTTGGCATCCTTGAAGAAGGCGAGCTGGCCGCCCCGCAGCACGCAGTACCGCGTGCTCCACGACCTGCCGTCACACCGCCCCATCAGCCCAGCATCCGCCCATGCCGCCCGGCACCGCCGCCGTCCACCGCGCCTACCGGTTGGACGCCCGTTTGGTGGCTGCCTCCAGGTCGTGCTTGCGGCCGAGGTAGCCCTCCAGCTGAATGCTGCAGGTGCGGGCCGGTAGCGTGGCCGGCTCCTCCGGCTCCTCCCGCGGTGGCCCTGGGCTTGGCAACGCCGGCTCCTCATCGCCCGTCGTCCGCACCAGCTGCCGCAAAGCAACAGCCCTGTTACACCACGATGGCACCGCTCGCCACCAAAAGCCACATCCTGAGGTCTCGTTCCCTCCCGCCGCGGCACCCCGCGCAGGGGTCCCTATCCCCAGCGGGGGCTCACGGTCCCCAAACTGGCGATGGGTGCCAGCCAGGGGTGGGTCACCCCTAGATCTCGGTGCCAGTAAACCTACCAGCTCCGGTAAGCGGGAGCTGGTGGCTACTGGGAGGACCCCAGCAAGCAGCTGGGGGACAGTCCAGCCCTGGGATGCTCAGCACGGTGCCAGGGCCCCCCCAGATTTGGGGTGATGGGGTTGAGCCAAGCCAGGCAAGCAGCCCTGGGAGCCATCCTGGTGTTGTCCCCCACCCAGGGGGCTTGGGGACATCAGGGGATGCCGGCAGGCAGAGGGGCTCTGGTCAGGGGCCGCGGTCCCTGGCAAATGGGGTGCCCGTCCAGGGGCAGCAGCTGGGTGCCACAGGAGGGGCTGGGGCACGGCGATCCTGGGGTGCCCATCCCTCTTCCTGAGCCCAGGGATGGCCCCAGCCACGTTTGCTGGCACCACCGGGAGTGTGTGGAGGTCCTGCGGTGTGTCCTGCCAAGAGGGATGGGAGGAGGGACGCTGTCCCTGGCAGCCGGGAGGTGACCGTGTCCCTGAGCAGGCAGGCAGAGAAGGATTGTGTCCCCGAGCAAGCAGGCAGTAGTCTTGCCCCCAGGCAGAGGGGGCTCTTGTCCCCAAGCAGGTGAAAGTGGCCGTCTCCCCGAGCAGGCAGAGGGGAACCCTGTCCCCAAGGAGCCAGAAGATGCCCGTATCCTCAAGCAGGCAGAAATGATCTTGTCCCTGAGTAGGTACTCAGGGATCCTGTCCCCAGGCAGGTGAAAGCGATCTTGTCCCCAAGGAGCCAGAAGATGCCCATGTCCCCAAGCAGGCAGAAGGGGTTCCTGTCCCCAAGCAGGCAGAACAACCAGAAAGCAATCCTGTCCCCAAGCAGGCAGAGCAGGCAGGAGAGGCAGAGAGGCTGGCAGCAAGCACAAGGTGGTTGTGTGTGACGATGCCCCGAGGGTAGCGATGCCCCTGGGGTGATGATGCCTCCCAAGGTGACGATGCCCCGAGGGGTGACGATGCCCCAAGGGGTGCTGATGCCTTGTAGGGTGACAATGCCCCACACAGTGATGATGTCTCTTGGGGTGACGATGCACCTTGGGGTGACGATGCCCCACAGGGTGACACTGCCCCATACAGTGATGATGTCTCTTGGGGTGACGATGCACCTTGGGGTGATGATGCCTCGCAGGGTGTCATCCCCATGAGGTGATGATGCCCGAAGGGCCACATGCTGTGGGGCTGACGTGAACGTGGCCAGCCAGGAGCGTCATTGCTGTGTGTCCGTGGGCAGGTCTGCCCAATGTCCCCTCCGTGCCGGGACAGAGCCAGCCCCGCTCCCAGGACTGGGTGCTTGGAAAGCTGGGTGCCACGGGGCCGAGGCCGTGGCCGTGTGGTGTCCCCGTGGGTTTCTCCTGGGATGCACGCTGCCTCACCGACAGCAGAGGATGGTGGCTGGGATCTGCCCGCTCCAGGGCAGATGCTCCAGCTCTGGCTGCTGCCCCAATCCCAGAGACCCCCGTGCACCCATGGGTGCCAGCCTCCACCAGCTGGCCCAAGCCTGGCCACGGGGAACAGGGGTGCTCCAAGCCACCGCAAGGACCCCCTGGCCACCCCAGGAGCTGGGGCAAAGGGGAAGGTGCAGCACCCGTGTGCCCGCCCAGCCTTTTTAGGGTCATTTAGCATTTATTCAACTCAAGGCAAGGAACAAGGCAAGGGATGAGGGGAGCCGTTGGCATGCCACGGCCACGGTCATGGCCACAGCCGCGTCCATGGGGTCTGCCAGGAGTCTGGGGGACATGCAGGGACACCTTTTTTGCTGCTGGGGAAAGAGAAAGCTAAACTCGAGAACTGACCAGCTCTGGTCCATCGGTGGCGGGCGGAGAGATGTCCCGCATGCTAGCACCTTCCCTCTTCTCCTCCTCTTCCTCCTCCTCGGATCTGCAGCAGGGAAGCAGCCCACTCAGCATCCCCGGCAGAGTGTGGCACCCCTAAAATCTCCATCCCAGCCAGCTCGCCGGGGAAACGCAGCTGTGGTCCCGCAGGGACCTGGGGCTGGCTGCTGCTCTCCCGTCCCCCCTGAGGGATGAAAGCCCCAGCATGGTGGGACTTGACCTTCATCTCTCCTCTTCACCTTCATCAATTTACTGCTCCAAAATGGTGAATTGCTAAAAAAAAAGCCCTTAATGCTTTGAGAAAAGGGATGCTGGAAAAAATGCCCATGTGCCAGGTGGGTGCCGCAAGATGCTGCCACAGCTGCCTGGGGAGGGTGCTGGCATCTCTTACCCAGCCTCCAGCTCCCCATCCAGATCCAGGCGGTAGTCGGGAGCCT